TCAAATTTAGAATTTATATTTCATTGTGCTCCAAGAGTGAGTATATTATACTACTGCAAGGATAAATCTGTTTGCAAATGGCAGCGAGAGTTGATCTGCATCTATCTGAATTGGCTGTTTTTCCACACGGAGAGAAATAAGATCTTTCTGTCAAGCGATCTGAAATAATTTTATTGAACTATTTGCTTCGGGATGATATTGTTCTAGACGATTTTCTTTCCCCCTCTCTTTCTCTCTCTCCTTTACAGATTACATATGAATAGATCAAAGAGATGGGTTTAGGTTATTTCCTTCAACGTTTGACATTATTTGTCTTGATATTTATCCTTTGCAAGTTAAGTGTTTAAAAAAACACCTAAAATGCAAATAACATCCCTGGAAGGGATTTTTATGGATCCAAACTGGGGGGGAAAAACTTTGCAAAATATTTAGTCTGAAAATCATTCTTTAGCCTGAACTGCGGTTCAGTTCAGCAAACACAGGATTAAAAGACGTGGTGTGAATGAACTCAAAAGGTGCGGTTTGCGGCTCACACTTGCAATTTTGTAGCCAGGTGCTCCTAAGGCTTCTTGGAAAAAAATGATCTGTGTGGTTGCTAAGGCTTGACGTCAACTTGATGGCATATCATCTTCATCATCATTCATAATGCTCCTCTGCTTCCTCAAGTTGCTAGACCATAAGAGCAGCCAGCTTTGCTTAAAGCAGCTGGACAGTCAGGTAGAACGTGCTACCTGGAGTTTGAGTTCTGCAAAGAACAATGCAAAATAAAATCAGTTCCAGAGACACAGAAAAGAACCCACAACTCCTTACAACTTCACTTTGACACCCAACAGCTCCCTTTACCTTCTTTGGAGTGGTAGGAACTCTATCAGGTGGATTCCAACAGAGGCACCATCCCTTGAAACCAAACAATTCACTAGGGTTACATCAAAATCCCAGTATATCTGGAGGGCTGACATTGGTAGAGCTAAGACGACTTAAGCCCATCTCACTTCTAGGCTAGGAATGAGACAAAGGCGATGACAGTTGGTTCCAGTGTGTTTTGTGCTATCGTTAGGGGCCCTAAATCAGAATTTCAGGCGGCAAGAAACCTCCCCAACCGCTACACACCATGTTGAGCTGGAATAATTCTCCTTCCTGTCCAAAGAGTACTTCGCCCCTGAAAGAATCAATTGATTGATCTGCAGTGGATTGGACTGTTGTACCTAATTGTGGAAAAATCAATCCCACCGATATGCCTTCACAAGTACCTCTTTGGACAGCAAAAATCAATCAATCAATCAATCAATCAATCAATCAGGAACACTTGGTAGCATCGTATCCAATTAAGAAATTTTATTTCAAATAATATTTAAGCTTTATTTCAGTTTGTTAGTTGGAATTTTTGGCTACCAGAGAGTAACACGCCTGCCTCTCCTCCTACAGTCTCTAGTCAGCCTTAACTAACACCTTCAGATTTAAATCTTTGGCTGAGTTCACACAACGTGCTAAACATACATGGTTGGAGGTAGCTTGCAAACCCAGTGGCTGGATTCATACAGCATGGGGAGCCAAAAATCATGACAGGCTTGGATTCACCCAACCGTAAGCCTTAGTGCAGGATGTGACCCCCTGTGTTTTAAAAAAAGAGGACTTGTTTGACAAGGCAGCACAGATGAACTTCTTTCTAAAATGCAAAACTACGTCCCTCCTGGATGAGTCACCGCTATTGCCAGGCCATTGATTTTACAGAACTTACTCATCCGAGAAAAGTTCCTCAAGGATGTAGGCTAAGATGAGTCAGGATGACAGGATGAGAAGCCAGGTAGCATTTTCATCAATGCATCATGTGACAATCATTCAACATGGATTAACATAGGATAGAATGCTGAAACAAGTGATGGTCGATCACGTCATCTGCCCGTGCGTAACCCAATGAAGACCGAATCATGGACCAACAATGAGTTGATCTTACCTTCCCTACATTGAGGGCCCTCCAGGAGAATCAGGATCACAATTCCTAGAATTTCGGAGCACACCATCGCTCTGGGCTGGGCTGCTTAGGAATGCTGGGAGTTGAAGTTGGAGTACAATTGGGGAAGGGCTCTGTTGTGCAAAATTTGCAATGCAGAACTTACAATGGTTTTAAAGTCTACAGCAGTGTTTATCAACCTTGGCCACTTTAAGACGTGTGGACTTCAACTCTTCAAATGGTTGGCTGGGGAATTCTGGGAGTTGAAGTCCACACGTCTTAAAGTGGCCAAGGTTGATAAACACTGCTGTAGACTTTAAAACCATTGTAAGTTCTGCATTGCAAATTTTGCACAACAGAGCCCTTCCCCCATTGTACTCCAACTTCAACTCCCAGAATTCCCCAGCCAACCATTTGAAGAGTTGAAGTCCACACGTCTTAAAGTGGCCAAGGTTGAGAAACACTGGTCTACGGTGACAACAAGAGGAAATGGGGTGATGTGTTGTTGCTTTATGAGTTCATGTTGATGGTTCTCTGGTGCAGAATGGATTGACTGAATATGTTGGGGTTTGGGGTGTGTGTCAAAGAAGGTAATGGCATATTTCTCCTCCCCTCCCCATTTTTAAAAATTTAAACCATGTCTCCACTCAGTACCAATGTCTTTGAACCTTTACGATCTTGTAAAAACGGGATTAAGGGAGTGGGGTGGGGCATTCCTAAGGGACAGACATGACTTAGTGGAATTGAGCAGATACGATGGCACGAGTGAAAAGTACATTTGAACATAAGTGTCTGTTAGCCCTGCGAGGTAGTCCGTTCAAAGAGCACAACCGCGAATACTAGCTCTGTCTTTATTGTAAGGTTATATTAACAGAATCTTGCAAGTCTGGAAGTATTTCTCCCCTCCTTTCCCTTTACTCCCTGGAAAACTAGGGAGGGTCTCTTCTGAAATGCTTCCCGTGCCCCTTTTCCTTCTATGGGCTGAGATACCTTTTACATGCCAGTTGTCCAGTCTGCGGCCCTCCCTCCTGTCTCCCAAGATCATTCCCACAGACCATCACCTTGTCTGACACAGATTGCCCTAATTTATGCCGTTTGTGAATGATGTCACGATGCATATGATGTTATCTACCCCCCTTTGCACTCCCCCCCCCCATGGATGCCCGCAGCTCTGAATCCACTGACAGATTCCTGCCTGATTTGTATTCAGCCTGCCCGCTTCTGGATCTATTCCCACCCATCTTATGATGTCTAGCACTTTGCAAAAGGAGTGAAGGTTCATTGACTCGGAAAATGGGGGGGGGGAGGTATTGCTTGCACACTCTGGTGCTGCCTAAGGCATGGAAGAGCCCGCCTGTTGTGCCCTCAGCACTTCCCAGTTCACGTTTAGAAGCCCAAGTCAGGCTGTTCACCCTGGTTTTGCTCAGGATTTGCTTGGTTAAGATGCTGATGTTCCAAGGTGAAACGTGGAAATGGGAGGAATTGAAAGAAACACAGAAAAGGTTCTCAGTGCTTTGGGAATGAGTTGCAAATCAGCCGGCTTGCAACATGGCAGTGCTGTTGATCCCTTAATTGCTTAACCAGGCCGTTGTTCTTGCCGTGGTCCTTCCCATCAATTTTGACTCCTGGTGACGACACAGACAGTCTACGCAGTTTTCTTGGCAACATTTTTGGAAATGGTTTGCCCAAACCTTCTTCTGGAATGTTTTTTGACTTCCCCGTCCAGGGTTGAGAAAGAGAGAAGGATTGGTCGAAAGTCACCTGGTTCGATTTCATGCCCAAGGCAGGACTAGAACTCGCAGTCTCCCGGCTTCGAATCCAGAACCTTGAACCGCCACGTCACCCAGGTTCTCTGCTTAACCACAGGGGCAACGAAATAACCCCACCCCAATATTATGCTATTGAAATGAATTACAACTGGAGTAACAGTTGTGCAGGGCTTTAAACTCAGTTCTGGTTCTCCAAACCAATAAGAAGCTACGATAGATTTTCTTTTGCACTGGATTCCTGTGGGGTTAAAGGCAGAGAGGAACGTGGCCCCTTAACCCAGATGTAGGGCCCCCACATCCCCACCCACTGAATTCCAGTGTCCCAGCTGCTGAAAATCCGTGGGGCGGCTTCCTGCCATTTTGGGGTGGGAAGCCCACAAAAACAGGTGGGGAAATTCTGCTGTTGGCTTAGCAGAGTGAAAAATGCAAAGAAGGAACAAACCTGGCCACAATGGGGAAAATCCTGACCCCATTCAAGTGGGTAGGATAAGCCTAACCTCCCGTGCAGCCCTCAGTGTTAAATATGAGGTCTCCCCCAGCCTCCCAAATTTGCAATCAGTGATTTAGGGGTAGAGTTGAGGAGGGGGAATAGCAAAAGTAGATTTTGTAAAGTTGTAGTGGAGATCTGTAGCTCTAGAGCGGTGTTTCTCAACCTTGACCACGTGA